CCCCGCCCCGCCTGCAGCCGGCGCCGCGCCTGCCTCACCTCGCCCGCCCGGCCGCCGCCGCCACCGCCGCCGGAAGTGACGCCCGCGCAGGCGCAGACGGCGCCGCCACGTGACCCCGGCGTGAGTGGGTGGGGGAGCTGGGGTGCGGGGACCGCTGGTGGGAAGGACGGGGTCACAGGAGGGCCGAAGGCGGAGGGAGTCCGGGGTATTGGAGACCGGAGACCTGGGATGGGAAGCACAGGGGGAGCCGAGACCTGGGCAGGGGATTGCGGGGGCTAGAGGGGGACACGGGCACAGGGAACTCAGCAAGAGGGCGTGCATGGGGAGACCTGGGAAAGGGCACATGGGGCAGGGTCGAGGTGGGGCATAGGGGGAGATATAGGAATGGGGAGAGCTGGGGACTGCAGGGACGGGACACGGGGGAGGTGAGGAGGGGTGGGGGCCGTGGGACAGGCACATAGGGGGATGAAGGGCACAGGGACTGGGAGACAGGAACTTGGGGAGAGAGGGCTTGGGGACGGGGCACACGGGGAGGCAGGGAGATGGCAGGCGGACGGAGGGGAGGGCCCGAGGTGGGGTGGGGCGGGGACACCGAGACCAGGGAGAGCAGAGGACAGGAGGGGTGTTTGGGGATGAACGGGTTCCCAGGAGGCTCTGACCCCCAGCCCTGTGCTCCCGCGGAGCCCAATAATCAGGCAACCACCACAGGCTGGGGGATAACATTTATTGAAAAAGTAAAAAGTGTCACACAATAAAAAATTGACCTAGAGAAAAAGCCAGGCCAGAGACATAGGTATAGGGCCAGGATCGTGCCCGAGGATGGGAGGCTGGAGCCCAGGGCTGGGCAGTCTAGTCCACACTGGCTCCCTTGAAGAGCTCCACCAGGTCCTTGAAGTCTGGGTCGATGAGGTCGGAGGGCAGGTCACCGTCATCATTGGCTGCTTCTCGGTCTGCCCCCAGGGAAATGAGGTACCTAGGTGCAAAGGGCAGCCTGCTTAAGGCATGCTGGGCCCTGCCCCAGGGCAGAGGGTGAGCGTCCTGAGGTCACTTGTTAGTTTTTCCTGGCAAGGTGAGGAGGAAGAAACTAGACCCCTTGGCAGCTGTGTCAGTGTTTCCAGTTTGCTCTAGCGCAGCAAAGGGTGGCAGTGGTGCTAGAGCCCTTGGGGCTGTTCCCTGCACTGGCAGGGCCAGCTTTTGGGGGGCCACACCCTGGAGACAGATGAGGCTTAGAGGGCTTGGGATGCACCCTTTGCAGCTTCCCTGCCCTTCTGGCTCACCTGGCTATGTCAGGGTACCCATCGCTGCAGGCAATGTGCAGGGGTGTCCACCCTGTCTCATCACGCTGGTGAATGTCAGCTCCGTATTTGACCAGCAGCTTCACGCACTCCAGGTTTCCAGAGAGCACAGCTTCGTGCAGAGCAGCCAGGCCTGGGCAGGGGTCAAGGCTGGAGTCCTTGAACTGGCCTTCCCCTGCCACCCCACACACCCGTGGCCAGTTGCTCCAGTCCTCTCACCTGAGGGGTGGATAGTGTCCAGGGAGACCTTCCGAGTCCTGATGAAGCGGCCCACCTGCTCCAGGTCGCCCTGGCGGATGTGGTCCAAGAAGAGAACATCATTGGGGAAACGGACACTGCGATAGGCCATCAGCCGCTGGCGCCGCTGCCGGGGGCTGTATCGGGAGTAGCGCACAGTTCTGCTGGGCATCCTGGGGGTGAGGGTGGGCTGCCCCTTTGGGGACCCTGCTGCACCAGGCTGAGGAGTGAGGCAGCAAGGCCAGGCTGGGTCAGCGTGCAGGCTCTTCTGTCTGAGACCTCGGTCCTAGCTTATATAGGGCTCGTGAGCTATATAAAGCTGTGCACTCATGCTTGCCGAGGCAAGGGGCTGAAACTGAGCTGCTCCCTCCTCCCTGCGCACAGGATCGTGTTTGGTGGCTCATCTTTCAGCCCACCTGTTGCCATGTCCGGCCAAAGGGGTCAGATCCTTCTTGCCACCACTCCCAGCCTCTGTCCCACAGCTGGACCTAGAAGGTGGCCCACAGAGGGCAGGAGGAGCACTAGGCTGGAGCCCCCTGAGGAAGGCCACAAGCATGGCTCAAGGACAAGGCCCCTGAGAGGGCCTGAGCACCTCAAGTGTACGTGCCTCTACCTGCCTGTAGAGGCAAGGCACTGCCTTTCCCCTCCAAGGAGTACTGGAGGCCCCAGCCCCATCCACCTTCCTACCCTTTTTTGTCCCCTTCCATTGGGCTCCTAGCCCCCTAGGGAGCTTTCCCAGAACATCCACCATTGCCGCCCAGGCAGGGGGCTTGGGGCAGTCTTGTGTGGCCCCCCCTCCCCATACACATGTCTGCCCACCTCTTCCTGCTGGTTCCAGGCTCTCCAGACACAATGCCAAGGACACATGCTCACACTGACAGTGGTAGCCATTCTGCACCAAAAAGATGGGGGTTGTACTGGCAGTGTCCCCCCCGCCCCAGCAGGCTCCCATGCCGGCTCCCCCCCCTTTTGCAGCAGCCAAACTGAGGTCGCTCACACTGGGGGCCTGGGAAGAGCTGATGGGAGGGCCAAGGACACAGGAGCAGCCTGGGCCAGGGGAACCAGGAACAGAGTAGTGGGGGGGGGGGAGGCACAGTCCTGTGGGTCCGTGCAGTGCTGAGAGCTGCCCAGTGGTGCTGAGACCCCTGGTGAGCTACCCTGGCAGAGCACCACAGGCTTGAGACCTGAGTTCATCACCGACCAGGGCCCAGATGTGGCCAGAGCAGGTGTCCTAGGCTCCAGGGAAAAAATTCATTCTAGCTCTCCCAGCTCCTGGAGATCTCTGCTGTCCTCAGGGCTCCATCTTTGCATGGGTTGTCCTGTGTCTTTCCAAATCTCCCTGTTTATGAGGACACCGATCATAACAGGACTTGTCCTGTACCAGTATCACTTTGTCTTAACCAGCGATAGAGCAATGCCCCTATTTCGAAGTAAGGTCACATCTGGAGGTATTGGGGGGATAGGACATGAATTTGGGGGGACAAAACTTGACTCACTGCACTGATGGGATGCTCCAGGTGGCTGTTGGAGACCCAAATGAGCCCAGAGGTCAGAGTGACCAGCTGCTTTTCCAGAGCTGGAGAGGAGACCTTAAGGTCAGTGGCAGGCAGCAGGCTGGTCTCTGGCCAATAAGACCAAATCAACAAGAGTATCAGGAGCCCTCCAGGTGGGTGCAGAGGCATGGGCCGCAGGCTAAGGGGAAATGGCACTGACCAAGGCCTCCATGCCCAGGTACACCCCACCACAGCCCAGGGCTGTTGCCTCTGCCACTCTGTGCCCAGGCCCTGGCCCACAGAGAGCCTGCTGGGGCTCTTTCCCGTGTCCTCGGGCAGAGTCAAGTATAGTTTCTTCTGTGTACATGAAGCCAGGAGATGAAAGGTTCTATGCTGTAATCAGACAGGAGCCTTCTTTGAGGGGAAGATTGCCTTTTGTCCCCTTATCCACTCAGGATTGGATGAAAGCCTCCGAGTGCTAGGGGTGGGGCTCAGTAGGAGCGCGCTAGCCTGGCATGCTCCAGGGCTTGGGTTCAATACCCAGCACTGCAAAGAAGAAAAAGAAAGTCTTGCTGGATGAAACCACCCCCAGTGCCCCGGCTGGGACCAACAGGACAGCCCTTTCCAGCAGTGACCAGGCCTCAGCCACTCAGGGCTGGGCAAGCCCCTCGGGCCAGTCTGTGTGGGGAGGCCAAGCAGGATCCCTGGCCCACCCGGCTGATGGAGAGCAGAGAGTGGAGGTTTGCGGCTGTGGGCTTTCTGTTCGATGAAAGCTGCCAGACCCACCGAGAGGGATTCCCTTGACTCTTGTGGTGCAGGACGGGGGCACTTCCTGGAGCATCCTCACAGGAGCCAGCTGTGAGCAGCCTACACTGCTAAACCTGAGGAGAAAATGTATATTTCCACAGGTTTATCTGTGATTCTTCTCAGGGTAAGATTTTTTTTGAGACAAGGTGTCGATATGTAGCCCTGGCTGGCCTTGAACTCATGATAATCCTCCTGCCTCAGCCTCCCTGAGTGCTTTGATTACAAGCATGCACACAATGCCTGGCGCTTAGGATCAACTTTTGAAGTTACCTGGTCTGTGTGATTTGTGTGTGTGTGTGTGTGTGTGTGTGTGTGCGCGCGAGCACGCGCTACTGGGGAGTGAACGCAAGGCCTTCACACTGAACTACATCCCCAGCCCTGTTCTAATTTACTTTGAGACAGGGCCTAAGTTACTAAATTGCCCAGTCTGAGCTTGAGCTTTCAGTCCTGCCTATGCCTCCCAAAGTGCTAGGATTACAGACATGTTTGGTCTGCATGATTGTTTTTTTTTTTCTTTTTGATACGGGGATTGAACGGACCTTGCACTTTCGAGGAAGGCGGCGGAACGGCTGAGCTAAATCCCCGGCCCAGCGTGATTTTTTAAATTGCTACTCTTTCGAGGACAAACCAAAACATTTTATTTAAAAGGGTTACTTTCTGACCATTGAAAAGCCCAGTGAAAGCACAAAGCCCAGGGGCTGTGAAGAGTCAGGCAGGCTCCAAGGTTGGGTGACCCCTGAGGCGGTGCTGAGGCCTGGATCTGGTGTTTTAGGATCCAGCTAGGGGCTTCCTGCCGCCTATAGAGAGAGAGATTGCAAAGCCCTGGCTGCTAAGCTGTCACTGTCTCCTCCAGAGCCTTCACCGTGGCCCTGGTAATCCACTGGGCTGGCCAGAGAGGTTTTGGCCATCTCCGTTTGCTTCCGGTCATAGCCCTCCCAGGAATGCGCTCCTCGGTTCCCTCTGGGAAAGGAAAGGTGTCGCTGACTCTCACCCCACCCCGGAGCGCGTGACAGTGGCTTGGTCCCGGAACAGCTGGTCAGCGGGGTCACTCGCACCTCCAGCCCGGCCCCGTGCCTTCCTCTGGCTCCCTCCTCAAGAGCCACAGCCCTGAGCCTCAGTTCACATTTTGGGGACAGAGGGAACACCCTCACACCTGACTTCAAAGTGCTCCTGCCCCGTTGTGTTGGCGGGGTGACACCTCACACACGCACACACTGAGGCCCTTGCAGCCGAATGAGCTGGAAGCCAGGCCCAGCCCGGGCACACAGTGAGTGAAGGCAGGCACGGGTGGATGCTGGGTGCCTGGGCCAGTCGGGCCCAGTTGGAGCTGCCCAAGGGGATAACAGGTACCCATTGCCTACTGGCCAGGGCTGCACGCCCTGGATCAGACAGGAGCAGCACTGATGCTCCAGCGCCACCGGAAGGAGGCAGGAACCCGGGGCCTTGGTGCTGATGGTGTCACCACCTTGAGCCTTGCCTCAGCCATCTTGGGCAGAGCAGAGCGCCTGCAGGTGTCCACGCCATGAGGAACAGGGGAAGGCCAGGCTTGGAAACCTGGCAGCACAGTGGCAAAGCTTAAGGTTGGGGAAACTGACTGCAGTCATACTTTGGTCAGCTGTGAGCAGGCTGAGGCTCTTCAAGTCAGACTACATTTCTAAAACCAGGACACAGGGCTAGGGTGAAGTTGAGGTGGAGCACTTGGTTAGCATGCATGAGACCTTGGGTTCCATCCCCAGGACCTCAAAACAAACAAAAAATCAGTAAATGTCCCAATTTAACACCAGAACTTTCTTCTTGTAGTGCTAGGATTGAACCCAGGGGCTGGGCATTCTATACTGCCAGCCCAAGGCTGTTTTTCTTTTGGTACCAGGGATCAAACTCAGGTCCTTGTGCTTGCAAGGCAGGCGGCAGAGCCAGAGCTAAATTCCCAGCCCTGTTTTTTTTTTTCAGTTGAGACAGGGTCTCTGTCTGTAACTCAGGCTAGGCTGGAACTTGCAGCAATCCTCCTGCCTCAGCCTCCCAAATGCTGGGAAAACAGGCACATGCCACATAATCCAGCCCAAGGGACTTACACAGTTTGGTAACATGCATGGACAATTGCTCATTTAAATCCTTAAGACTGGAGTCACCCCAGTTCTCTGGACCACTGCAGTGGGGGCAGAGGAAGGCAGCCCTCACTTGCCCCCAGTAGCTGCATGCAGGGCCATGCCCGGTGCCGGCCCTGTGCCATCCAGGACCTGACAGGTGGCTGCTTCTGCATGTGTAACACACTTCCAGAGTCCCCCTGACAGCAGGAACTCCACCAAAGCCTGTTGCACTTTTCAGCATCAGAATTCTCTCCCAGTTCTGTGGCCTGAAGAAATTGTAAGCAGAGGCAAAGGGTAGTAAAATTTCAGCTTTATTTGGCCGATGTGTTCAATTTCAAGGTTGTGCTGGAAATGGCTGAAGAATGGTCAACATCTGGTCAACATCACATCCTTGGCCGTATCCTAGCCTGAGGATGTGGGTCCTAGACCCCCAGTGCAGGGCTCTGGCCATACTGAAAGAGGATCCGGGGGTCCCAGAGCAGGCCCACAGCAGGCAGGTCAGCGGTCTGGACAAGGGCCAGAGCTGTGCAGGGCCTTGGCCCTGGCCTGGGCAGTACCACTACCCCTCCCTCCAAATGCACAGAGCTACCCTGACCTTAACCAGAAGTCTCCATTTGATCAAAAACTGCAAGAGCCATGCTCGCCCTGGCCACACTGGCACGAGGTGGATGGGAGAGTGGCCGTGTCCCGCCTGGATCCACCCCTCCCCAGACAGGAGACAGGAGGCTCCAGGGAGGCCTGGCCACGGCAGAACAAATACCCTGACATCGAAAAATATCTCAAAGTCCCACAGATGCAATTGTTTTAAAGTGATAGTACAAATCTCTCTAACAGGAGAGAGATTACCAGTGTGAGATCCCAAACATTTTAGCAAGCACTTGGGACAAAAAC